ATCAGGCCGACAGCAATAATTATTCTGACAATAATAACAGTAGTTATACTAATACTACTAATAAATGTTTACATATTGAAACATATTTAAATTATTTTAAAATTGTAAATATCAAAATGTTAATAATAATATTTAGTGAAAATAAACCCCCAAATTTGACATGAATTCAATATCGGCCTGTCATAAACTGATGCAATTTGTTTGAAGGCATCTTTTTAGGATTATCAAGTTATGAAAACACTTCAAACACAGATTAATAATAATAATAATAATATAGCCCAAATATTATAGGCATTCAATATTGGCCTTGTCAGGTCAATAGCAAATAACTGCAGATAACTGGTGAAATATCGGTCGGACACCGATACTCATAGTTTGAAGGCATCTGCTTGGGATTTGACATGCCTTTTTTGAATTCTTCCAGCATTGCATCCAGCTTGGTGTCATTAAACACAAAATGCAGAGGATGGTTGTAGAACTTGGTGATGGTGGTCATGGGAGTGCGGTCCTCCGGATCAACCAATGCCAGGTCTTTGACGTACAGGATTTCGATGATATTGGACCTCTCCTCTTCGTACACCGGGACACGAGTGTAGCCGCTCTGCATGATCTCGGACATGGTGTTGAAGTCCAGCACGGCCGTGGAAGGCAGCATGAAGCAGTCTTTCAGGGGGGTCAGGATGTCCTCCACGGTTTTGGTCCTGAGAGTGCCTTTACTGAACTCCACCTTGACGAACTCATTATACGGATCGTTCACACTAGTCCGAATCATTTCCATGGTTTTCTCACGGATGCCCACGGTGCTCACGTCCCGGTGCAGGATCAAGTCCAGCAGGAGGCCGAGAGGACAAGAAAGTGGACACGTCAGGATGAGACAGATCTGGGCCAGCCATATCAAACCCGGTGCCATCTGGAACCCATAACCCGAACATACAATATGAGGAACCAACTCAGCCAGGAGGAATATGAGGAAGCCACTAGTGAACACAGCGGGCACGATGGACCCATAGAGGTGGTACAACAGGACGCCGAGCACCGAGTGACCCAAAGCACAAATGAACAAGAGCGAACAAACCAAAACGTTTCCTCTCCTCCGGATGGGCTTGAGGCGCTTGGCCACCCGCTTTTCATCCTCCGAACCGCAGCTGTGCAGAACATACAGCTCCAGTGGGTCCAGCCACAGCAAACTCAGATTCACGCATCTGACCACACTGCAAATCAAACCCAGAACCACGACCACCAAAATGAGACCCCATAATGGAATGTAATCTGATGGCACAGCCGGGTTCTTAATAATCAACTTGTCCGACCCGAAAGACCCCCATGTCTGGCCCTTTAAGACGCAAAAATGATGGAGCACAGGCTCTGCATCTTTATCCTCCGGTTCGGATGCTGCAGCTTCGGTCTGGACTTCCATAATCCCGCCGTTCCCGTCATCCAACGCGAACGCTCCGCGCACCCGGAACGCGGAGGAATTGCGGCGTTCCTCCAGCGCGCACGGGTCACCCGAACCGCCTCCAACCGCGGCGAACGCGACCCACGGCCAGGTCTCATTGGACAGGTAGGACCCAAACAATCTGAGCTTGAAGGTGGTCCCGTGCGGAGCTATGAGGACACGTTCGCGCATGTACACCAGCTGGGTTAAGTCCTCCAGGCGCAGTCCGTAAAGATGCGTTTCTTGAAGGCTGCAGGTTCCGAACCCGCACAGGAACGATATGATCAACGGGAGACGCAGCTCCGCCAAGCTGACCACCATATTGGAACAGGGCAGCCTGGCTTTATGAATCATGTGACGCTGATGTTGTTGCCGCTACGCTACCCTCCTACTTTTTCAGTTGTTTTCATATAAAACGATGAGGGAAACTGGCTCGGTCCGGCCGCCATGTTGGCTCCGTGATTCTTGAGAAACAGGCACGGACTTGCCCCCAAACTCTGGAGCCACAATGAACGCAGTTTCTTTTCTTTTTTTTGCGCCGCTACGTCGTGTCCACAATGGACCAATGACAGAAGAGCAAGTGCTCGCTTGACCAATCGGAGAACGGTCTGTTTTGGTAAACCACGCCCACAACGGCACAGAAGAACTTCAGCGTGTGAGATGAGCGCGGCATCTTCTCAAGGCTATTTTGAAGAAAGCTTTTTTTTCGTATCTAGCGGTTAGATTGACAGAGAGAGTTTGAGAGTTAAAAACTGACCGTAATGTTTTACACCTCGCAAATGTTTTACCTACGGTTTGCCATTGGAATAAAAGCAACATCACTACACAGACTGAGCAAAAGAGGTGTTTTATTATAGAATTATTTAGATTAAGCATTTACATCATCAGAACTCAACAGAAATACAAAATATTATATACAGATTGCTTTAAATACGATCGTGTTCATGGGAAGTACATTACATCTGCATTTTGCATTTCCCTTTAAAGAGAGCAACTTAAAAAAAAAAAACATTATTAGTTCGGTGTGATGCTTTAAAAAGTATAGAAGACAAAAATAAACTAACCCCACTCACAAAACAAATGATGGAATTATTTTTCTGTAGTTCCCATGGCTTTTTAATAGAAGACCTATAGTGAACCCAAAACACAGTGTGCTTAGTATGCAATACAATAACCTGAACAGTTTGAAAGGTCAATATAGGTCATGACCCTGAAAAGTCAATAAATGCAGAGTGGAAAATGCAGACGCTTCCTGAAAACACACTGTTAGAATCTTTAACTGTGGTCTAATTATCAAACAGGGGAGCATGCACGACATCCATCCCGTTGAGTTCCTCAGGAGAAAATACCATGAGCATTAAAATCAGATTACAGAGCTGGATCGAAATCCCAGCATTACACTTAAAAGAATTTCATTAGTTTCTAAGAGAGAAACATGGGCATTATATGGACAAATCAAAGTGCAAAAGGCTTTGGCTGATGTGTTCATTTACAAATTTAATTCCATGTAGTGTTGCAACTTTGGTCATGATATAACATGTTATGCCTCAGTACAGAGTTTGAGCGCAGTGCCCACATTTTGGTTTAAGTTGGATTAAATACTACTCAAATTTCACACTAAAGAAATATCAGTTGAGGTAAAATGCAAACTTATTTCTCTCACTGTGCAATTGTACATTATACATCTTAAAAAGAAACAGACCTATTTATTGCTTCAGATCTCTCGTAAAGGCAACAAAACATTTATAAATAACTTCGAAATCATCATACACTAGTTGGACAACGTCAATTTTATACTGTTCAACGAGAAAACATAAATAATCAATCCAGTGCTATTCTTCTCAGTAATTATTTCTAATACTCTATAACTCTCACTGGGATTTTTTTTTTTTTTTTCAATTTATGAAATAAAAGAAAAGAACAGTTTAACACTGGAAGCTTTATGCATGCACTGCATAGCATAGTTACAGTATGAATACATCAGAATAAGGTTTAAATATGGTTTCTAATGTCAGCTCGGCGTGAGAGGAACACAATGGAAAAATCACTGTGTGACCTCCGAAATGTGATGTCTGGACAGAACCGCTTTATGGTCACTGCAAGATGTCGTCGAAACTCTTAATACTAGTGCAAGCAAAGAGGCTTTCGTTTGGAATAGTTCACTAAAAATTAGCTGAAAGTTTCTTCATTGGAAAATAAATTGAGAAATGTAGCATTACATCACTTGCTCAGCAATGGATCCTCTGCAGTGAATGGGTGCCGTCAGAACGAGAGTCCTAACAGCTGATAAAAACATCACAATAATCCACACCACTCCAGTCCATCAATTAACATCTTGTGAATGAAGAAACAAATTTGTAAGAAACAAATTCATCAAAGAGTTTGAACTAAGGTACTTTAACTTTAAAACATCAAACTACAAGTTCATAATCCATAAAAATGATTACACTCCAGTGAAAACATCCATCCCCTGTTGTCATCTCACATCAAAATCCACTCACATATTAGTTTCGAGCTGTTTTCTCTTGTAAACAGTGCTTGATCTGTGTATATTTCTCTCCTGATTCAGACGAGACAACTATTTCACTGAAGAAAGCAATATTATGGAGAGAGGACTCATATTTTAGCTGAAAGCAACAATGAAAAATGTCTTGGTGGATTCGTGTGATGTTTTTATCAGCTGTTTGGACTCTCATTCTGACGGCACCCATTCACTGCAGAGGATCCACTGGTGAGTAATGCTACATTTCTCTAAATCAGTTCTGATGAAGAAACAAACTAATCAACATCTTGAGGATTAGAAAAATGCTACGTTTTTGGGTGAACTAGTACTATTCCTTTAACTAACCTATGATCTAGAGGCGTATAACAAACCAAACAGCACTAGTGACTTCACACTTCAGGAAGAGACACTGAAGATTCAGTAGCATACAAAAATGCTTGAGAATCAACACGAATGTACAGTTTCACTCCAGGTCACAGTGAATTCTGTTCAAGCATCGGTGGAAAACAGCATTTGTGTTGTTTGATGGACAGTCGTAGCCTTTGAGATCAAGAACTGGGTAAATCTTACAAAATCTAAGGTCATATTTCAGATCAAAATGAAAATTAATATATAATTAGGACCATTAAGACTTTTTGCATTGTGGTATTATTTATCATTTTCATTAGTATAAAGTGAAAAATGTATATTGTTAAGCATTTATATATTATGGTGCATTTGTATGGATTTTTTAATATATTTTAAATGAACAAATAATTGTATTACAGTAATATAAGTCTACTGAGAATCATTGAGAATAATAAGAATTATAAATGAGAATTTGTGAAGAAAATATTCTCATGAAAATAATGCATAATATGATGCAAAAAATCTTAATGGTGTTAACAGGCTTTATTTAGTCAAATAAAATATTTTGTTGTGAAATACAACTCATATTTTTGTGAGATTCATCCCGGGGGATGAATTATAATTGTGTCAAAAAGAAAATGTTTTTTTTTAAATCAAATATACATATTAATTTAGACAAATTTTTTTTTTATATATATTCATATTTTAATAAATTATTATATCATGTTTTGAATCATTTATCACAGATCTGAATATGCAGTGGTCAATGCTCATAGTTTTTTTTTTGTTACAAATGTCTGTTTTGAGCACTAACGGACCACGTCGGGTTTTCCAAACCATATCTGCGTCAGCAAATTTCACGTCTCCAAACTATATTTACAAAGTTTCCCTTCACGTTTGTCACGTAGAGCTATGATTGCGCCACATACAGCTACATCACATAGCCACAATTACCAAAACACCTTGGCTTGATGCGTTCGACTTTGAAAAAAAGCTGTCAAAATCATATAGTACTATACAGCAGGAAAACTAGACCAGAACTGTCTTTGTTTGTGCTAAAAGGATAGTTCAGTCCAATAATAGCTTATGAGACTCAAAGTGCTCTTATGGTCAAAATCTCAGAAAACTACAGCACTCAAATGTATGCTGCTGGGTCAGAGACATTATAAAAAGTGCATATTGTTCAATAATTCTGTTAGATACTGATGAAATTGTATAATGCCTTTAAACGGTATTTGTTGCATACCAATGCTGAAAGCTTTGAGAGTGTCTACATAAGCATGCAATAGCAGGCATAACAGTCTGCATAACTAAACACCTCAATGTCGGGCTGAACCCGCAGCCCCTAAAATCACAGTGAGATCACGTCCAATGTTGAAGACGACGCACCTTTTTGGAGTTTTTTAACACACCTTTGTCCTCTCGAATCGAGAGAAAGAGTGTATTTGTGCTTGTGCGATCGCCTTCGGTCAGCTCTGGAGCTCCCTGAGCCCCAGATTAGTGTCGTCAAATGGTGCTCTCGGTGTGCGCGTGCGTGAACGTGTGCATGTGATGCGCGTGAGGGTTGGGGAGGGGCGTCGGGCTGCTGTTGCCGTGGGGATGGGGGGCGGGGCTGGAGTTGGAGTTGGTGTTCAGGTGCGGCTGGTTCTGAGGGTGGATGTGGCTCGGACGGCGTTTGGACAGGCTGTTCTTGTCGTTGAGCAGCGAGGTTGTCTCATCCGGCCCGTTCTCTCTGGGTGCCGGCGGCGCTGTGGTGTGGTTCGCGGTGGAGGACATGGGAGGGGTCAGAGGTGGAAGAGGGCCGGGATCCAGACGGATATGGCTGCTCTCAGGGGACTGGGGCATGCTGTCCAGTTTTGAAGCCAGGAGGCCGGTTTGGTACTGCGAACGAGTGACCTGAAAAAGAAAAAAGGTAGTAAAATCAAAACTTACTTACACTACTGCTCAATTTTTTTATTTTTGGAAAGAAATTAATACTTTTTCTCAGTACGGACTCGATCCCATTAAATTGATCAAACGTGAGAGTAAATATTTTTATGTTACAAAAGATTCAATAATCATAAATGCTGTCGTTTGAACTTTCTATTAATCAAAAAAAAGTATCAGTTTCCACAAAAATATTAAGCAGCACAACTGTTTTCAACATTATTAATACAAAATGCACAAATATTTTGATCCCAGTAACTCAGTACACCGTCCTTAGTATTTGATAATGCTAGATTCCACTCTATATTTAAATATTTGAATTTAAATTAAATATAATATCATTTAAATATTAAAACAATATTAACAAAATCTCTCTCTATATATATATATATATATATATATATATATATATATATTGATACTGTACGCATGTACAGGTTGGTCTTGACTGACTTAACTTAAAATATTTACATTTCAATTAAATATTAAAACAACAGCAATAATAATAATTTAATGATACTGAAAATGCAGCATTCCATCACAGAAATAAATTACTTTTTAAAATTAAATAATTGTTGCCTTTGTGAGCATAAGAGACTTCCAAACGGTCTAATCTAGACACTCACTGTTCAGACATAACATGTACAGGTTGGTCTTGACTGACTTAACTTAAAATATTTACATTTCAATTAAATATTAAAACAACAGCAATAATAATAATTTAATGATACTGAAAATGCAGCATTCCATCACAGAAATAAATTACTTTTTAAAATTAAATAATTGTTGCCTTTGTGAGCATAAGAGACTTCCAAACGGTCTAATCTAGACACTCACTGTTCAGACATAACTTAGATTGTTCTAATTTTGAAAACTATAAGCATAAATAAAATAATTATCCATTGTCAGCAAATGTGTTTATTTTTATGACTACCAATAGAGAACAGGTTGACCTGATAAAATGCAGATAGACATATATAATACAACTGCTTTAGATCTACAAAACAGCTGAAATTAAAGTGAAGTATAAAAATAGTCGGTAACGCTTTACTTGAAGGGGTGTGCATAAGACTGACATGACACCTTCATAATCATAACATGACACCTACATAATCATATGAAGGAGTATTCCAAGTTTTCTGAAGTCATACACACATTTATGTGAAGACCAGACCGTAACTTTGTTGTTATTGGCTGTTTATGGACATAACATACCTTCACATACTGCAGGTCAGTGAGGGCCCGCACGTTAAAATCAGGGACGTACTGTGCCATGGGGCTGTTATTGAGCTGACTGTTACTGCCGATGATGGACACCGAGTCGACTCTCTCCGTGCAGCTCAGAGACGCCGAGCGGTTCAGACCACTCACGTGAGACGGGGAGCGAAACTCTGGAACGCACAGGAAAACCGTCACTTCATGTCACGGCACGCCTGCTGACAAACACTCACACAGATGAAACGGAGTCAAGAAGAACACAAATGTGGCAAATCTTAAAACATAAAATGAAAAGAAAAAAAAAAAAAAAAAAACACTGATGAGAGCGACAGAACAACAATAAACAAGGAGCCACAAACAACTCATATCACATGTGAAATGAATGGAAAGATTATTGCAAATGATTGGATGGTCATTTCAGACGTGCATTGGTGTGTGAGCAGCATTAATTTGGTTACACTGGAGAAGCATAGATTATAGTGTACTATTCAATACTATAATATTAGTATGTGACTATAAAGAACAGAGAATGTACATAAAACCCTCGATTACCTAAAACCACGAGGGATCGGTGCTGTAATGTAACTACACTAGCGTTCTCTACAGGTGCTTTTATGAACTACCTGCAACAGTCACTGCAGCGATTGTGCTTGGGATTTGACAGGTTTTACTGCGACAATAACAGACAATACATAAATGAATGCTGACAGATGAGGACAAAAACGCACAACTGACTCAGAAGGACATGGTTACTGGCAGAGCTGGGTAGTAACGGATTACATGTAATCTGGATTACGTAATCAGATTCCAAAAATTAAGTACTTGTAATTAGATTAAATTACATTTTTAAATACTCGTAATCAGACTTTTTTTACTGATTACATGATTAACAGTGCAGGCTTAACCGCTTTAAGAATTCCTTCGTCCCGCTGTCCATCAAAGCTTTAAATGACAAGTCAGCCAGAGGTGTGCCCCCATAACGGTGTTTTAATTGTAACAATATTAATGTATATATATATATTTTTTTTAAAATTGAATCTTATCTTATTATTATGACGATTACAGGTGTGTTGTATGATGTAGTGTGCAACTGGTTGGTTGATAGCAGTTTGTGTATGTGTTGTGTATGTGTTACTTATTTAAGCAGCGGTCACTGGATTGTATGTGTCCAAGACAATTTTCCTTCGGGACAATAAAAGTCTATCTAATCTAATTACATATTATTCACACAATAGCAACAAATTATTCATAATTTATGAATTCTCCCTAATTCCTCCTCTTCACCTTTTAAATGTTCCTTTCTAAAATAGCCTACCGCTTATATACACTCAGAAAGTCTTACAGTTTTGTGGATTTTCACACAAAGACCAGTCATTAGTCAGATGGCTACACAGCATTTGACCACTGGATTTACAAAAATCATTTCAGGTTTAAAAAGTGTTTCAACACTGGATCAACTACTGATGAACACATACATTTTAATTTGAATTTTCGCTCAGTGGGTTATTTAACTATGTGCTACTATGTCTTTGAATTTGTGCATTTTAATGTGTTTGAAAGACAAAAGCCTTCCACACTATTACATGTAATGCATTCCCAAGCTTTTTTTTGTCATCTGAACCGCTTTCACCTAATATTTTCTTGAAGTACCCCAGAGATTTTAAAACAAATATTTTTATAATTAAAATCACATTTGAATGCTCACAGTTCTCTGAGGTTGGTTAATGAACACCTGACATGCAGGTAAACAAATAAAATATTCAATATTTTATGATTGAATGAATTACTAGCTTTTCATTGAACTCACAAACCCCCTGCAGTTCCTTTACGAACCCCAGTTTGGGAAAACTTGATGTGATGTAATTTAATATGTTTAATGCACCTCATGTTGTTAATCACAATGAATGGAATATATTTTCTTACTCTTTGTATTTTCTATCAATTTGGTACAAGATTATTCTATATAAATCAATGTGATAAACGAGTTAGGTCAAAAGTAATCAAAAAAGAATCAGATTATATTACCTAAAATGTGTAATGTTTACATTTCAAACTACAATTTTTGTCATGTGATTTGGAATCAGTAACGGATTACAATTTGTATGTAATCTACCCAGCTCTGGTTACTGATACAAGCATGGGGGATTTTTCTCTGCTGAAATGCCATTTGTTTACACTGCAAGCGACGCAATGTGATAAGCTAGAACTCTCCGGTTATAATCAATGAAGTCATTTACACCGCAAAACATGCAAAGTTCATTGATGATAACGGACGCGATCAAGTATTATTGCATCGCTCACGTGCTCTCCGAGTAGTTTGGTCTGTAACGGTAACCAAAGTGAACAGGATTAAAATTCATTACGAGTTGCTGACGAAACCAATCATCATAGCGATATCATAGAATTTCGATGATATCGGAAAATTGCCTTAGTATTTGACTATACTACATTGCACTTCTGTCAAAAAAAATGGACAGGTTGGTGAAAATATCTTACAAAATGTGAATTAAAATGACAGCAAATTGGATAACACATTACTTTACGTAATTAATATTCATGATGTAAACCGCGCCTGGCACATGGCTGACTGAAAATAAACATTAGAACAAAAACAAAAGCCATACGATTTCAAAATATTTTTTTTTATATTTGTTTGTAAATATGTTTTAGCCCTAGATATGAAACAAAAAAATGCTATATTGACTTTTCTGATACATTTGTCTTAGTAATTTTGTTAAGTGTTTTAGTCGTTTTCATTTTTAAAATGTCTATTTCCTTTATTAATTATTTCAGTTTTAGTAATTTTACTACTATAAATTGAATTAGACAAAATTAGCAATGTTATTATATTTTCTGCTTTATTTTATATATATATATATATATATATATATATATATATATATATATATATATATATATATAT